GGAAAGAGCCCATGCTCTGCAACAAGAGAAGCCACCACAGAGAAGCCAGCACACTGTAACAAAGAGTAGCCCCGGCTCGCTGCATCTAGAGAAAGCCCGTGAGCAGCAACGAAGACCCGATGCAGCCAAAAATAAATAAATAAACAAATAAATGAAAGAAAATAAATGTAGAGTAAGGGGTCGGGAAGTGATGGAAGGTGAGGGAGATGGGATTTTACTGGAGTGGGCTAGAAAGGCCTACTCAAGCCAGTGACATTTCAGGAGACCTGAATGAATAAGGGAGTCAGTCAAATGACCACGTGAGAGAAGAGCATCCAGGCAGAGAAAGATCCAGTGCAGAAGTCCTAAGGCAGGAACTAACTGGTCTGAAAGAGCAAGAAAACCAGTGTGGCTGGAGTAGAGTGAATAAAAGGGAGAGTGGAAGGAAATACAGTCCAAGAGGTAGTCCAAGATCTTTTCATTTTTAAAAGATCACTTGGGCTACTGTGTGGAGAATAGATAGTAGGAAGGGGAAGAACAGAAGTAGGAGCAGGAAGAAGGCAGTTACTATGGTCTCCGAAGAGATGGTGATGATCTGATTGGTGTGGAGGAGGAGAGAAGTAGAAACATCCGGGATATGTGTGACATCAGAACCAATGCGATTTCATATGGGTTGTGAGAGAAGAAGTGAAATGAAGGATGATTCCTAGATTTCTGCCTGAGCAGAGGGTAAAAGGTAGTTCCATTTATTAATAAATATAAGAAGAACTGGAAGGGAAATGGGTTTGCAGAAGACATAAAAAAATTCTGTTTAGCAATATTAACTTTGGGATTCTTATGAGACTTACAGGTAGAGAAGGTAGTTAGTTATTTGAATCTAATAAGCAACTGGCAGAGATATAAAATTGGGAGTTCAGCATATAAGCAATGTTTCAACCATGAGAAGGATGAATTCACCCTGTGTACAGATAAAGAAAAGATGGCACAGCACTGAGTCCTAGGCCACTGTTCCACGTAGAACAGTTAGAACAGTGTTTCTCAAGTTGGGGGCATTTTGCCTCACGGTGGACAGCTGGCTGGATCTGAAGACATTTTTGGTTGTCATAACTGGGGGGCGGGGTTAGGGGTGTATGCCTGTGTGCTACTGGTATCTAGTGGGTAGGCATGCTGCTAAACATCCTACAATTCATAGGGTGAACCTCCACAGCAAAAAATTATCTGGCTCAAAATGCCATTGGTGCAGAGGTTTAGAAGCTCTGATTCTGAGGGTAGGAGGTGAAGACTGAAAAGGAACAGTTGGTAAGGAAGCCAAAGTAACTTACAGAGGCTGAGAGAAGATAATGCAGCAGGCAGGAAGGCTTCAAAAATTATACCCAATGGTTGAGTTCAAAAGGGCTGAGGCACGCTCACAGATTTATCAATGAAGTGGTGGCTGGTGACCATAAAGAACATGGTTTTGATGGGAGTGCTGGGGGTGAAAGCCCCACAGGAGAACATTCAAGGGAGAAGAGGAGGCCAGAAAGTAGAAATAATAAAAAATATAACTTCTTCAAATTTTGTAACAGGTCTAACTTAACTACACATTGATCTATAAAAGAATTAT